ACCCAGTGCTGTGATGGAACAATCTGGCTCAGGCCTCAGATGCCTTCACCGGCCCACCTCCTCAGCTGCCAACTGATGCTTCTGCTTTCCGTCTGGTTCCATAGGAAAAGTGTCACTGACCACAATCCAACCCATCCAGTTGTGTTTCCATCTTATCGCCTCCCACTTTCTTAAGGACCTTCCCCTGCAGAAAAGTTCACTTTCCTGTGTGGTTTGCTGTGTTGGGGAGGGCAAGGAAGAAGGCAGGGAAGGGCTGCGCTGCCCCCGATAGGAGGGCAACCCATCAACCCCTTCAATAGGCACCATACATCCACGAGGCATTCTGGGAAACCAGGACAAGGTTTTTGTTGCTACCTCGTTTTCACTAAAAAATGGAGTGAGTCATGTTGCGTTTTGTTTAACTAACATGATGGAAAAATTTTCCCCAACTTATCCTTTGCTGAATAAAAAAGGCAGGATCATTCCAGAAGTATAGGCATTTCCAGCTGATCTGTAAGTATTGCTGTCATAATCATACCCACTTGTAGTTTGTTAACTGTAGCTTCTTCCTTGTGGCCCAGAGCTGCAAATAAAACAGTATAAGAGGGGCAGCATGCCCAGTCTGTCCTAACAAAGCACACAGCACCTCTTAATCAAGTCCCGGTACTTAAAAAAGGAGCTCTCTCCTTTCTATTCTGAGAGAAAAATCTAGTAGCATTTCTTCCAGTTAATTATCTCTTCTCTTTTTAATTGGAAAGAGAATTTCAAAAGACTCATAACAAAAATTTGACCTCAGTAAAAACAGAAAGCAAGGGCAATTGTTAAACAGTGTGGTTTTTTGAACAGTTAATACTATTTTCATCCTCATAAAATTCCAACTCTGTCAGAAAAGGAAGGTGGCATCAGCCAAGAAATACATATCTTACCACTTTTACTTTTATGATTTTGGAAACCATTAAATAACTGAAAAAAAAAGTGAAATGTAGCCAAGTAACAGAGAAAATGGGACTCTGTGTCTTTAAGCTAGAGAGAAAAATACAACCTAATCATTCCAAATGTATTGCTTTAGTCATCTGGTTTCATTCTATTAATGACCTTTAACATCTGCAAAAATATTGTGAAAAGCTAATTTTGTTTGTACTGAGGTGGTGCAGAACAGTTTCTGGCTGTCACTCTAGGATGTGCTATAAAATAAAATTGTCTTTCTGGGAGTCTGACAAAAACCTACTGTACAGATCCAGTTTATTTACAACATCTAGGAATGAAAAGAAAACAGAATTTTACAACATGCCAACATGCAAAAAATGAGTAGTACTTACACATTTGTGTGTGTGTGTGTGTGTGTGTATTAGCAATACACATACAGCTATCCCCCAAGATTAAAGATTTTTTAATAACATTTTATGACATTCAACAAAAATTCTAACCAGCAAAACTATTTCTTGATAAATGTTATGCTGCTAAAATATGAGAAAGCGTTATTCAACATAATATGTTTTGATTTACTACAGGAGCTCTTTAGAAAGGCGAAATGGCCTCATTTCCTCGTTTTGACAAGCCTTATGTTTCTATTACTTAAATAAGAATCTTTGTAAAGAGGTAGTGTCATCAGGGTTAATGTATTGACTTTATATCCTCAGAGGCCAAGGTTAAAAATATGCCACAGAGTCATCAAAAAGAATAAATCTAGTCATGCTGGTCTTGTCCTTATATCCACTCCTTCTCAACTGCACTATCCAATTTTGTGAATGATTTGTGGGCCCTGCCTAGAAGCATCTGGGCCTGAAGAATGTAGGACTTTGATGGTTCAGGAGTTTGATGAGCATGGTAGGCCCAGCTCAGGAACCGAAGAATAGTAGATCTCAAAGCTGGAAGAGGCCTTGCAGCCATCTGGCCAAGGCTCCAATCTGATCAGTAAGTCCTTCTGACAATATACCTGCCATGAGACCAAACACCAATGCTTAATAACTTCTAATAAAAGGGAATTCACTACCTTTTAAGGCAGCATGCTGTTTTGAGAAAGCTTTCAGAAAGTTTTCAAAATATTGAGCTGAGACATCTCTTCTGGAAATTCCCCTTTGGAAGCACAGAGGATTCCCTTCTTCATCATCATCCTTTGTATTTGAAAACAGGTCAAATGTGTCTAGTTCCATTAACACGTGGCCTATGGCATGACTCAAGATCCACACTCATTATCAGGGATTTTCAGTCATTTATAAATAAATGAAGATTGATGGATAGATAGATAGATAGATAGATAGATAGATGATAGAAAGTAGACAGGTAAGTACACCTCTGCAGGCATTCTGAAAAATGATCACTGAATCACAAGACTATCACTTTCCTTGACTAGGTATCAAGATTTGGGTAATAAATAGTATCCTTTGGCAGATACATCAATGTTTGCCCATACTGAGCTTACCAGCTTAGCCAAAATCGCTAAGCCTTTTACAGTAAGTTCCTAAACTCATCTCCTGGATCTGCAATGATGATTTTCAGGACCTGGCTCAGAACTTCACATCATGTGTCTGAAGTTTGATATTATTCCATTTGACCTGTAACCCCAATAGGTTATATCTGATACAGACCTACAAGGAAAAACACCCAGACTTTCGGGCCATTCGATCCTCTATATCACCCAGCTTACTGCCAAGAGCACCCAAGGGGAAGGAACCCACACTTTCCCAGTGGTCATTACATGAGAGTTTTACCCTGTTGTCCTTACCCTATTTCATTTTGGCCTCCTAACTATAGTCATAATACAAAAAGTTTCAAAGTTGCCCTGAGTGGTGCCAAGTAAATACCTGATTAGATAGAATTCTTTATATGAGCGGGGAGAGGCAGCAATCCATAAGCAATCTACAGGTCAGTGGACATGGTTTCAAGACGAATAAAGTTTTGTTTTAACCTTTCCTTTCCGGGCGCCCATTCTCACCCCTCTCGGTGATCATATCCCCACGTTTTTTACACCAACACAATGAACGGACTTGAGAGTGATGTATTTTCTTTTCATCTCCAAATATGTACAGTTTCATAATGGGCCATCTGTCATTTTGCGATTCCATGTAGACAACAATGCCCTAAAGTTTGTTGTCATAGCAACCACACCAAAGTCTCCAAAGCAAACTCTGTAGTCTTTCCTAATCTCGGATTCCAGGCAACACAGGGTCGGGGGTGGGAGGCTAAAATTTCAGAAAATGTAAGCCCCTAACGTTTGTTACCTGTGTACAGTTAATGCTCACCCCAGTGCCCCTCAAATTTCAATGAACTAGATTATAATATTATTTTTTCTAAAAGGAGGAGCAAAAATGTCTCCTGTGAGCTGTGATTTATTTCATTTCAGGTTCATGTTGTTAGAGAGAAGTTAAGTCTTGGTTTGAATTCTGGGGAGATGCTCACATGTAGCAATCAAACCTTCCTTTTCACTTTGCTGAAGACCAATTTTAGAGGAGGCAAGAAAAAATTCAGCTCATTGTTCATATTCTTGTCTCCCACCTCATAGCATTCCAGAGTGCCTGTGCCACATTATAGCCGGATAAAGGAACGGGGAGTGGATTCTGTGAAGACCGGGAACAAAAAAGCACAGTTTTTAATCTTGATTTACTTTATGTCTTTTCTTCAGAGACTATCTTTTACTTATCTTTAACTTCTCTCCTGTCCCATAGGCATGGAAATGATTCATTTTCTTTCCCTTTGATTTGCAATCTTTAACAGCTTTTCCAAGGAGGTGTGCGTGCACGGCACCGAGTGTTACCGTTTCATAGGGAAATAAGTAGAATCCCCTTGTTCTTCCTTCTAATGTCTCTCGAGCACTTTACCCCTTTCCCACTTTTTTATTTTTTAAAAAATTAAGAAACGGAGATTCAATCAGTTTCAGTGACTCATTCAAGAAACAACGCAAGCCGCCCAAGTAGGAGGAGAAAGGGAAACAAGTTGTAAGAATATTAGAGCCCATTGCAGAAATCTGGGCACGGAGTACAAGTAGGGACAGCAGGAAGGAGGAGAAGGCTCCTGACGGCAGAAAAATACCTGAGGGTATCATTCATTCAACAAAACGACAGGCACCGTCAGTTTGCATGGGAGAAACGCAAAAATGGGCAAAATATGATCCCAACAATTGAGGGTGTGACAAGTGGGCTCTCTCCCAGGCAGGGATAACATCCATACAACTAGCCGATAGGGTATATGTTATGTTAGCAGTATATGTTTTTTGAAGGATAAAGAATTTTATCTCATTTTTATTGCACTTACAATACATGCTCATGTTTCACAATGTTGAAAAAGAAAGAAAATATGTTTTTAAAAATATTCCTAGTCTCACCACCTAAAGATAATCATTCTTAATTTTGGCATGCACTTTTCAAGCTTTTCTCAGCTATATAACATAGCTGCTTTTTATGTATAGATATTTAAAAACATATATACACTGTATATACACTGTATATTTATATATAACATCTATGTAAAATTATATATACTTATAAGTTTACATATAAATTGGTATATATTCATATATATTTATATGAACATTATACACACATTTATATAAACATTGTATAAATGTGTGTGTGTATATATAGATATATAACCAAAAACATGTGATATATATATACATATATATATTTAATTCTGTATTGTCTCCCTTAATGTGACAACGCAATACTTTCTACATAAGCACTAATGTATAATCATCATTTTTAAAGATTGTATAATTGTTTATAATGTGGTTATACCCTAATTAATACCCAATAAACCAGACACTAAATTTTTTTTATATAAAACTGTACCTTCTTTATTTTGCATACTTTAATCTCAGAACAAAATAAACAAAAAAAACACCCACAATACATATCCAAACCCCGTCAAATATCGGAAGGGATAGGGCTTGAGGGCCTTCTTTCCTGCCTCAAAGACAGGAGAAAAAAAAGAGAAAACCACTAGACATCAGCAGAGGGAACCAGGTGAACCGGGGCCACTCGGTGCTGTTGGGGAGCCATGGGGACACTATACAGAGGGCACAAGGTCTGCAGGTAGAACTAATCTACTTCTTCCATGCGAGAGGCGTCCTCATCACCCTCGGGGGGGGGGGTCTCATCAGGAAGAGCAGCACTGGGTTCCTCTGCGGTCACTTCATCTTCATCAATGCCCAGGCCTAGCTTGATCATGCGGTAGATGTGGTTGGAGTGAGTCTGGGGATCCTCGAGTGAGAAGCCGGAGGAGAGCAGAGCTGTTTCAAACAGCAGCACCACCAGGTCCTTGACTGCCTTGTCATTCTTGTCCGCCTCAGCCTTCTGCCGCAGCGTTTCCACGATGGGGTGCTCAGGGTTGATCTCCAGGTGCTTCTTGGCCATCATATAGCCCATCGTAGAGTTGTCCTGAAGGGCCTGGGCTTTCATGATCCGCTCCATGTTGGCCGTCCAGCCATAGGTGCTAGTCACAATGCAGCAGGGTGAAGACACTAGCCTGTTGGAGATTGTCACCTTCTCAACCTTCTTATCCAAGATTTCTTTCATGAGTTTGCAGAGGTTCTCGATCTTGGCCTTGCTCTCCTCCATTTTTTCTTCTCCTCTTCATCCTCAGGCAGCTCCAGGCCCTCCTTGGTAACCGAGACCAGACTCTTCCCGTCAAACTCCTTGAGCTGCTGCACGCAGTACTCGTCGATAGGCTCCGTCATATACACTACCTCGAAGCCCCGCTTCCGCACTCGCTCCACAAAAGCGGAGTTGGCAACCTGCTCCTTGCTCTCACCAGTGATGTAATAGATGGACTTCTGGGTCTCTTTCATGCAGGACACATATTCTGAAAGAGAAGTCATCTCATCCCCAGACTGGGAAGTGTGGTAACACAGCAGCTCAGAAAGGCGGCGCCAGTTGGTAGAGTCCTCATGGATTCCAAGCTTTAGGTTTTTAGAGAACGCCTCATAGAATTTCTTATAGTTCTCCTTGTCTTCTGCCAGTTCAGAGAAGAGCTCAAGGCACTTCTTCACAATATTTTTGCGAATGACCTTCAAGATTTTGCTCTGCTGGAGCATTTCTCGGGAGATATTCAAGGGCAGGTCCTCGGAGTCAACCACACCACGGAGGAAGTTGAGATACTCTGGTATCAGTTCATCACAGCTGTCCGTGATGAACACACGGCGAACGTAGAGTTTGATGTTGTTCTTTTTCTTCTTGTTCTCAAAGAGGTCAAAAGGGGCCCGACGGGGGATAAACAGCAATGCCCCGAATTCCAGCTGACCTTCTACAGAGAAATGCTTGACTGCCAAGTGGTCTTCCCAGTCATTAGTAAGACTCTTGTAAAACTCTCCATATTCCTCCTGGGTAATGTCCTCAGGGTTTCTGGTCCAAATGGGCCTGGTCTTGTTCAGTTCTTCCTGATCTATGTATTTCTCCTTAATCTTCTTTGTTTTCTTTTTCTTGTCCTTCCCACTATCATCCTCCTCATCTGAGCCCACATCTTCAATCCTGGGCTTCTCCTCATCATCTTTATCTTCTTCCTCTTTCTCCCCTTCCTCCTCCTCTGCCTCATCATCAATGATTTCTTTCTCTCATTCCTTTTCCAAAGAAAGGGTGATGGGATAACCTATGAACTGCGAATGCTTCTTCACCACTTCTTTGACACGTCTCTCCTCTAAATACTCTGTCTGGTCTTCTTTAAGATGGAGAATGACTTTAGTACCCCGGCCAATGGGCTCACCATGGTCTGCACGTACAGTGAAGGAGCCCCCAGCAGAAGACTCCCAGGCATACTGCTCATCATCATTGTGCTTTGTGATAACCACCACCTTCTCTGCCGCCAGGTAGGCAGAATAAAAGCCAACGCCAAACTGTCCGATCATGGAGATGTCTGCACCAGCCTGAAGAACCTCCATGAATGCTTTAGTTCCAGACTTGGCAATGGTTCCCAAATTATTTATGAGATCGGCTTTGGTCATGCCAATGCCTGTGTCCACTAGAGTCAGGGTGTGTTCCTGGGGGTTGGGGATGATGTCAATTTTCAGCTCTTTACCACTGTCCAACTTGGAAGGGTCTGTCAGGCTGTCATAGCGAATCTTGTCCAAGGCATCAGAAGCATTACTGATTAACTCCCGAAGGAAAATTTCCTTGTTAGAATAGAAGGTATTGTTGATGAGGGACATGAGTTGGGCAATTTCTGCCTGGAAGGCAAAAGTCTCCACCTCCTCCTCTCCATGGTGCACTTCCTCAGGCATCTTAAAGGAGAAGAGCTGCAAGCACTACAGATGACGGTGGGTAGGGACTGCGTCCGGCTACGTCTCCGCAACAAGCCTGCGCAGGGGTGACTCAAGAGCCAGATACTAAATGTTAAGAAATGGTATCTACTAGCTTTTCCACTTTTGGATTATTTAAAATACATTCACCAAGTAGAGTTAACCTTTCCAGGATATAAAAAAATTATATCAAAATCAATGGGTACCAAGTTACATTTCATATCAGCTTTTCTGATACTTTTCAGCACTCTCTGTTTTTTGTTGTCCTGTGGCTGATGTGTGATTTATTAAGTATTAGAACCACATGCCTAGGTAAATCTTTCTGGGGTCTTCTAGAGTCTGCACTTTCTCATACTCTTTGTCTTAAGTCACAGATACCTTAATTTTGTTCCTTCTTACCACCTTTCTCAATTAGCTCACTAAAGGAGTGAAATGCTCGGGTCGCCTGGGTGGCTCAGTCATTAAGCAACTGCCTTCGGCTCAGGTCATGATCCAGCCCTGCATTGGGCTCCCTGCTCCGCAGGAAGCCTGCTTCTCCCTCTCCCACTCCCCCTGCTTGTGTTCCCTCTCTCACTGTGTCTCTCTCTGTCAAATAAATAAATAAAATCTTTAAAAAAATAAAAAATAAAAAAAATAAAAGAGTGAAATGCTCCCAATATTTCATCTCCTAAGGATTTCATAAACATCTTGTGCATTCAGGTTTGGCTGTATAGGGGTGACTTTTCTGGTGAGAACTGATGGAGTTCTAATATGCTGGGTCCAGGATTATTTTAGACCAATTTAATCTTCATACTTTCAATGTTCAGCCCCCACTCCATTTCTTCTGATGGTCTGCTGTAGCAAGCCAGGCTTATTAATAAAGATGTATCCCCTGCAGTGAATGTGTGATTAATAAAATAAAAATTATGTTATGGACTAAATATGCCCCCCCAAAAAAATCCTTATGTTGAAGCCCTAACACCAGAGTAACTTTATCGGGAGATAGTGTCTTTAAGGAGGTAACTGAGGTTAAATGAAGTCGCAAGGGTGGGGCCTTAATCCAAAAGGATTGATGTCCTTATAAAAAGAGAAGAAAAACCAGGAGTGCACATGCATAAAGGTCCTGAGGGCACAGTGAGTGGTAGCCATCGGTAAGCCAGGAAGAAAAAGTTCTCATCAGACCCGGTTTCATCAGATCTTGGACTTCCAGCCTCCAGAACTGTGAGAAAATAAATTTCCATTATTAAAGCTACCCAGTCTTTGGTATTCTGTTATGATAACCCAAGCAGGCTAAGACAGATTTTGATACCAAGAAGTAGGGTGCTGACATAGCAAATATCTAAAAATATGGAAGTGATTTGGAAACTAAGTAATAGGCACAGACTGGAAGGGTTTTGAGGTACATGTTGGGAAAAGCCTACATTGCTCTAAGAGACTGTTAATAGGAAAATGAACTTTTAAGGTGTTTCTGATGGGGTTTCTGACAAAAATGAGAAACATGTTGCTGGAAACTGGCTGAGTTGTGTTCTAGTGTTTTGTGAAAGGTAGAATTTATGAGTAACAACCTGGATTTTTAGCAGAGGAGATTTCAAAGAGTAGTGTTAAAGGCATGGCCTAGCTCCTGCTAACTGTTTAGAGTAAGTTGTGAGAGGAGAGAGATAAATTGAAGGAATTATTAAACAAAAAGGAACAAGAACTTGAAGACTTGGAAAATTCTCAGCCTATCCATATTCCAAAAAATGAGAAAGCATGTTCTGAAGAGAACACCAAAGGTGCAGCCGGACAAGCACTCCATCAAGAAATTACCTATGGATTTAATCAGTCATCTCAGCAAAAGCCAGAAACAGGTGAGATTTTCCTAGCAGAGACACTGCCCATTTGGACTAAGGGGACAGAAAGGCTTTTGGACTGCTAGGGTTCTACAGGATGGGACAATAGAGCTATCCAGCTACAAGCATACTGCATCCTTCAAAAAAAGAGAATAATGACCCCAAGGTGATTCAAGGATGAGCAGGGCTACCAATGGCACCACAGGCCCAGAGTACACTGGCCTCCAGGGAAGGCTATTTCCTCCTCAGTTTCAGAGGGTAGGGCCACCTCCTTGGATTCAGCAGGCAAGGGCCTATCGTACCCCCAACAAAGGCCTCTTGGACAAGGCTGCAACCCATGACCAAAAGGGCAAGGTCACTGCCACAGTGGCTCTAGAAGGCAAGACCACCACTCCAGTGGGCCTGGAGAGCAGGGCATGGAGGGGGATTATTCTTAAGGTCTAGGATCTAATGGAATTTGCCTTGCTGGATTTTAGACCTCCTTGATGCCCATCATCTCTTTCTTATTTCCAATTTCTCCCTTTTGGAATGAGCCTGTCTATCCTATGCCCATCCCACCATTGTATTTTGGAAGTACTTCTCTGGCTTCACCGGTGTACAGCCAGAGAAGAATTTTGCCTCAAGATGAATCATACTTCAGGTTTCATCCAGACTGAATTTAGATGATATTTAAATATGACTCTGGACTTTAAAGTTAATGCTGGAATGTAGTAAGACTTAAGGGCTGTTGGGATAAAGTAAATGTATTATTCATATGAGAGAGACATGAGTTTTTTCTCTCTCTCTTTTTTTTTTAAGTAGGCGCCATGCCCAGTATGGAGCCCAATGCAGGGCTTGAACTCACAACCCTGAGATCAAGACCTGAGCTGACATCAAGAGTCAGATGCTTAACTGACTGAGCCACCCATGCACTCTGAGGGACATGAATTTTGATGGACCATAGGGCAGAAGATTATGGACTCAACTGTGTACCACCCCCCGCCTCCCCCACCCCACCCCACCCCCCACCAACAAAAGTCCTATGCTGAAGCCCTAAACCCAATGGGACTGTGTTTGGAGATAAGCCTCTTAAGAAGGTAATTAAGGTCAAATGAGGTTATAAGGGTGGAGCCCTAATCCAGTAAGACTGGTAAAAGTCCTATATAAGAAGTCCTTATAAGAAGTGAAAGAGTCACCAGAAGTGCATACTCAGGGAGGAAGAGCAATGTGAGGACAGGGGGAGAAGGTGGCCATCTGCAAGCCAAAAAGAAATTTCTCACCAGAAACCCACCCTGCCAGGACCTTGATCGTGGACTTCCAGCCTTCAGAACTGTGAGAAAATAAAATTCTGTTTTTGAGCTGTTCAATCTGTGGGATTCTATTACAGTCATTTATAATAAACTGAGCAGACTAATACAGATGAGTAAGGCTCTGCCCTCAAGGGATCTACAAGGGAGTTGTGAGGAAAATGTTTTAATCCACTCTGTTTCATGCTTCATCAGCTCAGGCTATACAGTAGCATCACAATGACAGTCCTTTTCCAGATGAACATCCTTCTGCAGAATATGGTAATCCCATTCTATCTTAAACTCACCCAACAAATTCAGGAAATTCTCAGGTTCTGCTATGGTATCAAAACTGTGCTGGCACATCGAGTTCTTCTGGAAACTATGGTTTGCTCCTCATGCATACTTTATTGTGGCCTTGTGAGTTCTGTTCAAGTCTCTCCTATTTACTAATACCACCGCATAGGAAGTGGGGTCCAGCACCCAAGGTCCTTGGGTCCCAGAGATGACTGTGGCTTTCCCCTCTTCCCATGGCCAATTCTATGCCATAGAGAGCCCTCTTTGCTCTACTTGTGCTGTGAATGCTTCGATAGTCACTTCACTAAAACAGATGAAAAAATATTCTCAGCCCAATAACATCACAGTCTGTCGCCTGAGGCACAAAATCATGTTGACATTTGCCTTCAGTATATTTTAGAGATTTTCTTGACACACTCCTATTATTTTTATACGCTATTAAATGGAACTCATTTATCCCACGTCTCAGACAGAAACCTTGGGGATCTGGACTGAAGGATCATTTGAGAAAAAGCATGCTTAAAAATTGCTTCCTTGACTTTCATCCACCCATAGGTACATTCCTTCCCTCGAATCTCCTAGAATCCTCATAAAAATAGATGCTTGCTTTGCCGGCCCCACAGCCCTCTTAATAAGCCTGGTTGTGTGTCTGATCCCCTATAACATGCACATTTGGGGTTCTGCTTGGAAACACCCATATATAAAGCATTTATACATAAGGAAATCTATGCAGTACAGAAATACAATACAAATGCGGTAATTATGAAAGCTAATTTTTATGGAACGCTTATCACGTACCTTGACTTGAATGATTCATCTGCACAAAGGGAGGAAATACAGCTTAGACATGTTATGCAACTTGTACAAAAACAAAACTAGGATTCAAATTCAGGTCTGCTGACTACGGAGGCTATGCTATTAACCTCTATGCTGTGCTTGACATGTGCTACAGAAGAATTATTATGAGATGTTCAAAAGAACGAGAAGTTGGCCATTCTCAGGGTATTGGTCTGTTGAGGAGGTATAAATAAGGTATGTGGACTTAAGACACGTATGTGGGCTTAGAAAAGATTCAGATTAAAATCTTGAAAATGAAGGGATGTGAAGGGATTTTCTATGGGGGGTTAAAGGACTGAGAACTTCAGGTTTGTGAACAGGAAGTCGAGACAATCGTGTTATCATGATATTCCTTCATGAAGGGTGCTTCCCCAGCAAGTAAGAAACAACAGAGTTCACAAGCTAACACATTAGGGATTTTAAGCATTAATAATGATGAAACAGAGTGATAAAGTAACAGAATGTTTCACCAGTGAGGACAACCATATTGTCTTGAAAGGTGAAAGTCGTGGGGGACGCCTGCCTATCTCAGTTGGTTGAGCATCTGCTTTTGGCTCAGGTCATGATCCCGGGGTCCTGGGATGGAGTCCTGCATCGAACTCCTTGCTCAGTGGGGAGCCTGCTTCTCCCTCCGCCTGCAGCTCCCCCCTGCTTGTGCTCTCTCTCGCTCTCTGACAAGGAAATAAATAAAATCTTTAAAATAAAAAAAAAGAAAGGTTAAAAAGAACTTTCTCCAATCCGGATGGAGACCTGGAAATGTCCTCAGTGTGGAGTTATCCAAGCCCATTTTTTAGCTCAGCAAGTGGAGTGCAAGTCTCCTGTCCATACAGATGAGGATTCCTCCTTAAAAGTGGAGATATCTGTTCT